GCTCAAGATAAAGATTATAAATTTTTGCATATTGAATTAGTTCAAGTTGCTTTAAAACCTTTAACTCTTCAAGGATTAAATGCCTATTTTATGTTAGCACTAAGAGATGTTAGATGTCTTAATTTTGATTAGTCTTTAATGGGTGTTATGCAATCCAGCTTATGTACTGGTCCGATTTATTTTAACTGTTTTCTAATCTTTTTGTATCTTTGACAGATAAAAATATTTTGGATGTTTTAACTTGTCATATAAAACCTTTTGGTTATAATTATAAAGAAGGTACAAATATAATTATGTTAGGATATAAAGTCTATTATAAATTCATTAATATTTTATGTCCTGAAGCTAAACTTTTGAACCTTAAAGGTCAAACTACTTTAATTGAAACCAACACGATTAAAAATAAAATTGAAGTCCCAAAAATCATTAAATTGGCAGATATCCAATTTTTTGACACTTGACAATTGGAGTCTGTGGTTCCTAAAAAAGCATAAATAAATAACGAAATAACTCAGATCGCTCAATCATTCCGGGGTGATGTTACAATAAAATTTGCTAAGATAAATTCTAGAAATTATTTAAAATTTTTTGATAAATCAAAAAATTCATTAGGTTATAACACACCTTTAACCCCTTTTATACCTTTAAGAAAATCTATTTCCTCGGTACAAAATCGAAGAAGAGATAAAGAACTCATAATTGAAGGAATAAAAATTTCAAAAAATAATATTTCACATGGTATCTATCGACCTGTTAATACATCTTCTCAAGAAGAAGATTTTGATAAAGACTTTGATTTAACCCCATCCGAAATCGAATTTCAACTATAAGTTTTTATGGAGTTACACCCAAGAGAATTCTAAATGATAAAGGAAACCTATAATAAATAATTTTATCTTCTTAAATATGAAGAATTCAGAAATTGGTATTTTAAAACTATGAGTTTAGAAGAACTTCAACATTATAAAGAAATGTTTCTCCTTTATCTAAAAAGAGAAAGAAGGATAATTCCTTTTGTTAATTGGTTTTTAACTTATTATGTTCCTCCTACTATTGAACATTTAAATGTTATAGAAATTTTCCAACATAAATGGGAAACACTAGATGAAAAAACTATAAATAGTTTTTATCCCCCAACAACTGAACCAATAAAGTTACACTTAAATAATTTTGAAGAAATTTATATAAATGCTTGTTATACAGGCAACACTGTTTCTATTAAACAAAATAATTATATCAATGTTTGTCTCCAAGCTATAGGTCAACATCTCACTAAAATTGAAAACTTAATAAATTCACAACAAGCATCGTCTTCACAATCCTTCAAAAGACACTAATCTTGAACAAGCCAACATCAAACCAGCAGTTGATACTTCCACCTTTAATTTTCATAATAAAGTGGAAGATGAGTTCATAAATGCACTCAAAGATAAATTAAAGGGATTGTCTTTAAATGTCATTTCAAAAGGTGAAGAGCAATCTGAAACTGAAATTCAACAATTTGAAGATTCTTTACACCAAATACAGTCCGAAGAAATAAATAAAATTGGACTATCTAAACCAAAAACTAATCATTATTAGCAGGAGCCTCCTTTAAGAACTTATTATCAACGATCTACTCCTCAAGATGTTTTATATGAAGAAAGATTTTTAATTGATCAAAGTAGATATGATGTCTCTTCAATTTATGAATGGAATATTAATGGTATGTCTAAATATTTAATTCACCAAGTCTTACATAAAATTTTGATGTATGCTTCCATATGTAAAGTTATTCGAAATTCTGATCATGCTATTGCTAAATTTATCACCACCGAATTCACAGGCCAGCTAAGAGGCTGGTGGGATAACTATTTAAATCCAGTTTAACAAAATAAAAATTTAAATGCAGTCAAGGTAACAACAATAGAAAATTGAACTATAATCACTCAAGAAGATGTTGTCTATACCTTAGTACAAACTATATTAAAATATTTTGTTGGATCTAGTTTCCAAAACACTGATAAAAGTAAGGAGCTTTTAATGAATTTAAGATATCTCACCTTAACACATTTTAGGTGGTATAAAGATGTATTTTTAGCTAAAGTTTTGTTAAGATTTCCTACTATTAAAATACTGCTATTTTAATATTGGCACTGAAATAAATATATATAAGTAGAAGATTTCCTACTCCTATTAATTTTGATAACGACTTTATAGATTCCCAGAGATATACCCCTCTTAAAGGTGACATTGAATTTAATGAAGATTTGTTAAATGTTGATATGGAGATAAATCTTCATGATGACGGAGATAATATACTGTCTACTTTATTTTTCAAGAAATGATTAGATAAAGTTGAAGTTGATAAAGCCAACCCAGAAGAAGTGACACACGTCCTTACATTATTATAAAGAAGTGAAGCATGCCTTGACGTCACTATAACAACTATGAATAGTAAATGAACAATATTTATGACGTAAGCAATGGCGTCATTGTAAATTATTAAAGTTAGGAACAATATAAAATTTTGAATAATATTTTTTGTTTTGAAATCCGAATTTCATGTATGGCTCTATAAATAAGGGTGCAGGCCCAACTTGTGGAGCACCGCACCTTGACCACCCTCAAGACCTCATCTCTACCTCTTCCATACCTCACCTTTCCCTACTCTTTCCTTCCTTCCCTCTTGTACCTTCGGTGAACCCTCTTCTCTTGTATAAAACTTTCCAACCTTCTACACTACTACTATAAATGTACCTTGTACATAAATTTTGTATTAAATAAAAGCTCTCTCTAATATCTATTTTGTAGTTGATTTTTGTCTTTAATTTCATCAGGGAATTTAGAGGCAAATTCAATACTTCTTTCAATTAGGATTATATTCTCACGTTCAATATAATGTCCCAAAAAATCTGACTTTTAATTGAAGTAGTTTCATTTTTATAGCAGAAAGAACAAGACCATTATTTTTAATAATTTGAATGAATTTATTCAAATATTTAAAATGATGATCAATAAAATCAAAGAAGATGAGTATATCATCAATATAAATGATGCAAAATGCATAATAAGGATAAAAAATATTATTCATTATATTCTGAAACTCAGATGGAGCATTTTTAAGTTCAAAGGCATAACGTTCCATTCATAATTTCCAAACGGTATTGTGAAAGCAATTTTATATCTGTCTTCCTTAGCAATTTGGATCTGCCAATAACTTGACTTTAAGTCAAACTTAGAGAAAATCTTAACATTATACAATCGGGATAACAAATCTTTTTTATTGGGAATTGGATATCTAATCCATTGCAAAACTTTATTCAAAGGTTTATAATTTATTACCAATCGAGGAACTCCTCTTTCTTTTTCTATTGTTTTATTAACATAAAAAACTGCACAACTCTATGGAAAATAGTTTTTTCTAATTTAGGATTTTTTCATTAAAGAGTCAATTTCTTTTTTACATAGCTCCAAATATTCTTTATTCATTTGAGTTGGTCTAGCCTTAGTTGGAATATCCTTTTCATTAAATTCCTTTATATAAGGAAGAGTTACCACATGTTTTTTCCTATTCCAAAAAGGCCGTAAGAAGAGTATCACAGATTTCTTTGGTTATCTTAGTTTCAATTTGGTTTATTTTTTGTTTAATTTCGGGAGAATTAAGCTTATCAGTTAAACTTAAGATTTTTATATCTTCTTGTAAAAAGTTTAATTGATTTTTTTTATAAATCAAATTTTCTTTTATTTGATTTATCAATTTTATTTGAGATGGAGTTATAAACTCAAATAATATCTGTTGACCATTTATGGTAGTTAAAATACCTTTAGAATCGATTTTTTCTATAGGTTCGATTAAAGATAAAAATGGTGTTCCTAAAATCACTAATTGATTTAAATTGTCAATAAGCATAAAAGTGGTAGGAATACAAATTCTTTGATTACATACCAAAATATTAGAGAGTTTAAAATTTATATTTAATTTTGACCCATCAGCAACACTTACTGACTGAGTAGTTTTTTCAAAATATTTAGTCGGAATTAATCCTACCTTTATGCAGTTCATATCTGCTCCATTGTCAATTAGAATAATAGGTTCGACAGTAAACTCAGAATTTATAATTAAGATAATTTTAACATACAATTTTTGATAAGTTATGTTAAAATATATACGTATAACTATATATATATATTAACCAATACACATAAATCAAAATACATTAAAAATAAGAGATTTTGAAATAAATGACCCTAAAATGAGCATTTACGTCTTTGTATCTCAGTTGTGTACTTTTTTCCAAAATATTTTGTTCTATGTACTTTTTATCAAATAAGTGTAATTAGGTGTGTCAACTTCCAAATAATTCTATTTTATTATTGAACTCTAAAATTTTAGACTTTTTTATATGTGGGCCTAAAGCCCATCTTTTTCCGGCTCTACTGTTGAGCCGGCCTTGTTAGAATATGAGGTAACTATATGACAAACAATTTGAACAACTGCACACATATCTCCGGTTTCAAACACCATGAATCCTTACTGAAGGTTACTAGACTGTCAAGGTTAAAGCATTATACAAAAGAAAAACAAAGTATTACCTAACAGAGCCCAGAAACGGTGATCTCTTTTATAAGGAAATGACAATGGATGTAAAATTTACGAAAAAAGCGACTAAAAGGAAAAAGAAAACTGCCATCGCCAATTGGTAATTAGAAAAGAACAAGCATAGATGTTTACCCATACAGACACAAACCTACATAAATCACATCATAAGGAATGATATATGATACACTATTAAGAAACACATACATATTGTCTCTGCATATATCCTAAAACAGGGCACAAAATAAAAATAACATACGACAAAAGCATAAGGTCTATTGAGGGTCAATATGGGCTCAAGGACTTCCTGCAGCACATAAGGCTAAAGTTTAGATACCAAATTTTTAGCACCACATAAAGATGAATTTTCGGTTTTTAGAACCACATAAAGATACCAAATTTTCTTCTTCCATATTTCCAAGAAATAAAATATAATGTCCCATTTTGGCCAGGGCAAAAATCCACTGTCACAGACTTTCAAAAGTAACTGGACTATGCTAGTAAAAAGAGAGATCTGATGCATGCAACTTTGCTCTCATAGACACTGTAGGTGAGGTTGGGTCGAAAAGATTATTTGACTTGGGTTACTCGCCCAATTAAATGGCTTAAGGAGTCAACATCATATTTGCACCAAAATTAACTTGTGATGGAGTTGAAGACGCTAGCTATGGTGCAATATCCAACAGGTGTACAATCCCATTCCACATCAAATGCATATTCCAGGCGTCTTTCGAGAAAATTATCAGCACCTGAGGTTTCCGATTTTTCAATCTGTGGAAGTAAACCCTGACTGACAATTATTAAATCTGCTCTGTTGACATATTTGCTGTCATAACTACACGGGAATGTCTGTGCAGGACTGCAGGTACAGTCTGAATAGTTAGCCAAGCCAGCTTTTCTGGGAGTCCTCTTCCTTATAATGGAAGGAATATTTTTATAACTCATCGCTGAGTTCCTTAGCATGGATTCTGGGCTGCTATCACCGAAGGATATACTTGTTGCATGTTCAGGGGGAGTAGAATAGCGAAACTTAGTTTCGGAAAGCTTCAGGCGGTTGTCAACACTTGAATTTTCACCATTTTCCTTGTGAATAACTATATCCTTCAATTGGGGTGGCTTGTAACATAAACAGCCATAATCTTTATTATTCGGATGAGGTGTTGTTCCACGGACCTTGTTTATCTTGCCAACTTCACCGTTGTAGCCCCTCAATCCCATCTGTACCAAATTCGAAGAACCATTGTCTGCAACCTTCGCAACTCTCATATCGTCCACACTCAGGCCCTCAACCCTAGGCCTTTTTGGAGACTCAAATATTCTCTCAGAAGTGACAGACTGAACAATATCAAGAGGAACATAATTTGTTTCACTTATGCTATTTTCCGGACATTTATAGAATCCTTGGAAAATAGGTTCCGATGGTAAACTATTTTGACCAATATTTAAACTACCAAGAGCCAAATCTGTTGAACAGACATCGGTTACAATGTCCGAAACTTTTTTCGGATCAGGAGAGACCATATCACCAATACCCTCCCCAACTTGTGTCAGCCCTGGTTTTTTTTCAAGGCCGTAGAAATCAGGAGCAATAGTTTCCTGCCCATCCAGCAAAGAGCAGCAAGGTAAATTCAAATCCAACTTCTTCTTCACTGAGCAATTCCAGTGATTTTTTATAGCATTATCAGTCCTGTCAGACAACAAAAACAGCAGAAGATACAGAAATATATTTAGCAGATTCATGGGAATTACAACCTCTTATTTCATTTATACAACATATATACATTATAGGTGTGCGGATAAAAATGTGCACATAAATTTAGCATTTTCATATTCTTCAAACAGAATTAATTTAGGCAATGCTGAATCAACATTCTCAAGCTTCAGTGATGCACAACAAAAATTTTGGATCAGGAGACCAAAAGGGCAATACAATCTGAATACAATTTGGTGCAGATGCAGGGAGGTGACATTTCAGTTTGGATGATTCCCAAGCATGAGATAAACTCTAATTTGTTAATTAGTTTTACAATATGAAATCAAAATTCCTACTTAACAAACTTAAGCTATAAGCCAAAATAAAATATAAAAAAAAAACTAACGAAAACAAAGGAAACACACAGAATTCAGTCACTTATTTCTTAAAGGATGATCCCCCATCCATCAAAGACACTAGAAATATACTGCCATGATCCATCAATATGTGTGGTCATATGAATAAAGTGCACTTGCCACTATTATTTCAATTCAGTGCCCTTTAAAACTCCACAATGCGAAGTAAACCAACTCTTCCTCCAGCTAAGTGCAGTTTAGTCCCCCATTTTTGCCTCATGGAATTTCACAAAACTAGTGTCCCACCAATTGCGATGGCTATCACTCACCCTTGGAAAAGAAACAATCCAGTCCCACCCCTCCTTGTCATCACAAAGTAATAGAAACCCCCTTACTACCATTTAGTCAAACAGCTTTCTCATAGGGAATTTTCCAGGGTATCTTTAGAAGTTCCACTTTATAATTATGCTGAACAAAAAAGATCTTCATGGTGCAAATTCAATCAACATTAATAGATACCTTCCAGGTAGAAATCTTGCTATTTCTGCCCACTTGTTCCCATATATTTGGTGGTAATGACTAAAAACAAACTCCTCCTCTTCAGTCCACGCATCCTTCTTTACAGTTGGATCTAAATGGTTATGCCATCTGGGAGAAAAAAAAAAAAAAAGCTGTGGTATCGGAGGAAGAAATTTATGCATGTGAACAAAAACATAATGTCCATGAAGAGCTTTAGTTATTTGACTTATTAAGCACTAAATTGATCTGTTAATTGACAGCACACCTAATTAAGTTACAGAGAAAAATAAAAATGACCCTCACTATTCATTTTTGACCAAGTTAACAGTGTACCAGCCCAACAAAACCTAACCTACGAATAATTAAATATCAAATGATTATACAATTCATAATACCTACAGAAACAAATCCGATTGTGCTTACCGAGTAACAAGCAACGCATCCCTATAAAATATCAATCCTATTGACCATCAGAAAGCTGAAAGTAGTCAGATTCATCTTATAACATCATGCCGACCAAACGGTGGAAGTAACAATGTTCACACTTTTGCCACATGGAAAGAGTGAAAGCTATCTTATTTTTCCGTCAGGTAATGCTCCAAATTTCAAAACAGTTGACTGATGCTTGTAAGTCTTACAAGCACATGAATTTCAGCATATAATCACCCTCTTTAACAACTAATTCCAGTATGGTTCTTGAAAGATCGATCCACACCTCCTCCACCTATCAATTTTGCATTGCATTGATGGTATACGTTATAAGATGAGGACTCACTCAGAAAGTCCTTGAAAACCAAAATAAAACGTATGGATTTCACCAGCATCGAAAGTGGATGGTTGGATGATAATTTAAACTGCCCATCTATTGATGTCAAAGTCCACCTAGACAATCGTATCCTACGTTGCCAACCAGGGATGTGATGAAAGCACTTTGGAGCCCATATAGGAGCAGTGGTTTATAATGAGAAGCATGCAGATCCTAATTTATAATAAATACCCATACGACATAAGGAAAAGAAAAATATAGGGAGATATCAAGGCACGCCAAGCCCCAGAAACCCATTAAACAATTCCAAATTTGTTGGAACAGCAATCAGATAAGGCAAATAGGACGTAAGGGTGGTTCTCAACATTATGAACTAGAAAATAAATCAATGTGTAAAAACATACCAACAAAAACACTAGTAACTAGTAGTCTGGCATGACCTACCTTTCCCTGCATTGCTTGCCAATGCGACCAGGTAAAGACTTCGCAATAAGAGACCACCTTTTATAGCCGTACTCACGAACTAACTCGATAATGCAATCATCTTCCTGAAGATTCAAGCCAGAAACAACTAATTATAGACCAAAAAACTATATCACGTGAAGTATGAATGCAGTATAACTTTTGGGAGAAGGGGAGAAGGGCAAGAAGGCATATTGTCACCTCCTTTGTCCAAGGTCCTTTGACAAGTTCAGGATTAAGAACCTTCTGCCAGCGATGCAGGCATTGAACATCTGTACGTCCAGACATATGTTCAGCTGCAGAAAGGTTTTAAAAAGATTATAATTTGAGAGGAAAAAATATCCACTCTAAGTCAACTTTTGCTATTACATCCTAACAACAAGGATCCAAAAATAAAACTAAAAAAATGAAATGAAATGAAAAAAATTAGTTGAAAAAAATCAAAAATTTAAGAGTTTGTTTTCCAAAACATTAGTTGAAATATACTAGAGTATCGTAAAATTGCTTGAAACATTCTGAAACCGAAACAATTGGGCAGATGATTTGAAACATTACAAAACACGTCAAAACATTTTGAAACACCGCAAAGTATCATAATTCCGATTCCATCACTATTCGTTTTGGTCTCCTTGGAAATGAAAACTTTTCGGACGTTTCTAAACAAAAATTTGATCCTTGCCTAACAAGAAGAGATTTCAAGTTGTTAAACGTTGCTCTAAATTGACAAGTTTTCTTAATAGAAATTAGTACCCAAACTAACAACCAGATTGGAGGAACTTCAAGCAGAAAACCAAAAGGAATGAGGTAATATCAGGCTCACCTATTTTCTTCCAATTCCTTCCATGGAACTTTTTTACTACTTCAACTAACCGATAATCCTATCAATACAAGAAAAAGAAGTAAGAATTACAAATTGATGTCATTTGTAGAGTTCAAGAGAAGCTGCAAACTTGAGCCAATAATTAATGAATAAAATTAAGCATGGAAGGCTGGAACCAATATACAGAGGGATAGACTTGGTTTCCACTTATTAATGCCAACTTTGTCCATGTACCTAACTGGTTCAGATGAAAATAGTAGAGCAGAAATTTTTTTGGTGTTTTCTGGAACATACAAAATACTACTATAAAAGCTCAAAAAAGTGATGGCCATCTTTGGCAACACTAAGCTACAATTAAACAAGAACATCTAGCTAGCTACTGACCTCTTCCTCTGTCCAGCCTGCCTGCGACAAACGCTTAGATGCACTACCACTTCTAGGACTGAAAAACAGCACCCATCAAATTACTAAATAAGGAACAGTTATAGGACAGCAGAAAATGGAAGATTTGGTTTTAAGCTATTTATTTGATTTTTTTTTTCTTTTTTCACTATAAAGGGAGAAAAACAAAAGGCAACTTTGGACTAAGTACTTCAAAATCTGAAGTATTAAAAAGCTACATTTTATCTAAATGTGAAAAAATGGCTTTGTGATTTTTTTCCTCTTTAAAGTCATCTTTTTTTTTTTTTTTTCCATCAACATAACTGCAAAAATAATAACAGTATACACATACATGCGTGCACCACTTATGTGTCAAGACACTACGAGTTTGGAAAAGCTTTTCCTTTTCAACTTTTGATTTTGAAACACAAATCAAAAAACATAAAAGTCACCCTTTACTTTTGTTTTTCACTCATTAAGAAATTAAAATGTGTAAGCACAAGTACATCAAGAGTTCCTTTTTTCCTCATCATCTGTGCTTTGCCTGGCTGTTATTCTCTGTTCTTTAAACAACAAATGTGCAACAAAAATTCGCATACCAAAATTAATGTAGAAACAATAGCAACAATGACAACAATTTACTCGAAGCAGTACACAACGACCACAAATTTTGATTCAGATGTTCGGATGTGAAAAAATATGAAGAAGTAAAGCCTTACCCACGGTCAGATAGAAATCTGGGACTGGGGGTGCTGGTGTCACAACTGTCATCAGAAACCGAAGAACACAAAGCTAATCCGAAATCCTTTGTTAAGTCCAGAGTATACGCGTCCTCCTCCTCCTCCTCCTCCTTAACTCGTACTATCATCTCGGTTCCCATATTACCTCCCTAACTACAAAAAAACAAATCAATCAAAATATTCCACGATCATCACATCCACAACCAAAAAGAATCAACCAATCTTTAGTAAAAAATTAAATAAAAAAAAACAAATCTGAAATTTAAAATTTACTTTTTTGGCTAATTAAGGTCGGTTAAGTGACTGAATTCTGTTCACTGGGCTCCCAAGGCAATGAAAGATCAATCTTTTTTACAATTGTATTTTCTTTTCACGAAAGGCTCGATTAAGTGATTGGATTTGTTTCATTCAAGTCCCAAACAACGGGATCTCAAAATTCCTTACAGTACGATTTATTTACTGGAATTTTGTCAGCAACCAGACGGATCATAAAACAGGACTACATACGCAAAACCTACACACAATTCAATGCCGAAATCAATGAGAGCTAATGAGAGAAGCAAAACGAACCTCGACAGTTAATTACAGGGGATTGAATACTTGCTCTTTCAATCAATGAGCTCACTTTAAGCTGTAACCATCACACCAATCAATAAAAGACGATAAAGAATATCAAGAAAAGAAGAAACAGCGCTACACGCATAAATTTATGACAGAGAATGTTGAGAGAAACTAACTGATCTTTGGGTCAGGTTGAGAGAGAGAGAGAGAGAGGAAGTCGAAGGAGGAGTGACCGACTGTAACTGGTACTTGAGTTCAGTTCAATTTGAGTGGCCTTTTAAACGGCTATTGAACCGAAAGCTTCCGCTAGAAGGAAGAGTCGGTGAATTGAACGGCTGGATTTACGTGACGGTCGTTTGTTTTTTTGGACGGTGATTAATGATCCGAGTAACGTTTAAAGCAAGTTGTGTGCATGTACCAAACTGCCCTTTATCATTAATAGGCTAATATTACTTGGACCGAATCTATTTACTTAATTTGCAAAAATAACCATAACAAAATAGTTTTCCTAATTGGCAATTTTGTTGTGGCATAGAGTTCATTCGCAAACATGTATTTACTTGTAATTTTTTTGTTTGTTAATCTAATGTCTTTAGATATAGACAATTGATAATCTATATAATAAAATAGTTTATAATTCATATCTTCAAGGATAAACAAAATGACTTTTGCTATTTGCGGTTGAAATCGCTTTAAATTTTACTTGAAAGTTAATTTAACAGTTAATATTAAAACTTCAAATTTAATAGAAAAAAATAGGACCCTAAGAGTGTGTTTGGAGTAATTTTTTAAAAGTGTTTTTAGGAATTATTTTTTATAAGTACTTTAAAAAAAATTATTGTTTTGAACCGCTCCACCACTACTTCTATCACCACCACCACCACCACCGCCACCCTCTACTGCCACAATCGTCACCTCCACCGTCGCCACTACCGCCATCACCACCACCGTTGTTGCTGCCACCACCCCCACCCCCACCATTATTATCGCCGTCGCTGCCACTATCACCACCATCACAACTATTATTGTCTCCTACCATCACCCACTACCGCTCACTATCTCTCACTCCTACTACAAAACGATATTTAAATTCTTTTATCTCTTCTCTATGTTTGAGAATTAATTTTGGATATAAATACAAATATATTTATTTTTTATTTTTTTGTGCCTTCAAGCAGATGTAATAACTAGTAGACTAATATTACATAGATTAAATCTATACAATTAAAATTCTATCCTAATGCAACTGCTCTCTATTTTTATTGTTCATAGCTGTTCATTTGTTGTTAAATTTAAAAAATAAAATTAATTGATAAGGTAAAATTTTAAATTAATGAAATTTAATATTTTATTTAATTAATTAAATAGTTTAATTTAATAAAATTGATTTTCAATTTGACGTTGATTTGATAAAAATAAATAATAACTTAATATTAAGTTAAAGAAATAATATTAATTTGATTAAATAAAATATTAAATTAATATAACTAAATGCTAATTTGATAAAATTAAATATTAATTTTGTGTTGATTTGATGAGATGAAATGTTAATTTAGTTTAAATTAAATAAAGAAAATTAATTTAATAAAATTGAATATTAAATTGACCAAAATAAATGCTAATATAATATAACAAAAATGGAGTGTATTGAAATTTCAGAATCAAGAAGGAGTGTTGTTAAAGTTAAGTCTATTTACAGGGGGTGTTGTTAAAGTTAGGTGTTGTTAAAATAGTCGGGGATATTTTTATAAATCAACCATCGCCATTAACGGTATAACCTGACAATCACTAACAGGAAGTGACAGTAAAATTTCAAAATCCGAAGGAGGTGTCATTAAATTTAGACCTAATTACAGGGGATCTGAATGAAATTTTTTCTTATATCTATACAAATCTATATAATAAAATACACAAGAAGTTGAATTTTATCCCATATATATTTTTCACCCCCAAAAGTATCACTCATTTTTTATCGCATGCTCAACCGTTTAATATTTGATTAATTTGTAATTTAACATAATTTTTATTTCAGATATTATCCATACACGATAATATAGATCTTTAAAAAAAAATTATCGAATTACATATTTTGAGAAAATTTTGTCAATATCTTTAAGAAAATAATGGATAAAAATAAATTTTGAATTATTTAATCAAACAAATGAAAGAAAGAAAAAATATTATTTAATATAGTGATATCAATTTTTTAGGACTCGAATTTTTTGTTCTATCGTTCCTTCAGGCACGGGTTATGACTAGTAGACTAATATTGCATAGATTAAATCTATACAATTAAAATAAATATCAAAATATTAATATATATTCATTTTAAAATTATTTTTCTTTTATTTGATGTGAAAAACTATTAGTTTTGCATTCAAGTTTTAGTTATAAAAAAATCATTAATTGAATTTGAATTTAGAGACTAAAATATAATTAAATATGTCATTAGTGAAAAATAGAGAGAAATATAATTAAAATTTATTAATACAAAAAAATATTTTTTAAAAATAAATGTCAGTAAAATTTCAAATAGTAAACTATTCAAACTCAATATGTTGCTTTAGTCATTCTATGTGTGCTTTTGTGGATTTAGAAATATAAAAACATAATTGAGAAAAAATTGATCCATATTAAAAAAATCTCGAATTTAAGTTAAGAAAAACTTATAATTTATGAAAATTAGTTGATAATTAATTAATGTACCAATTGACTTTAATTGTAATAAATCAAAAGCATTGCGTGATGGAATAATTCATTTTTTCAATCTGCACATAACATAAATAAGATCGTAAAAATAAAGGTAATATAAAAACAATCATTCAATCGTATCATTTCAAAAATTGCTTAATATATGTTCGTTCTGCTTATAATCATATATAATTTAAAGAGTTTGCATCGTGTTTCGTTAAAGTCATGTCCACATGTTAAATTGAGGTCCCAAATAATTTCATTAATTTATCATCCAAAATCTATCAAGGTTAAACAAAAACTTATTAATGTTTATGTCAATCAATTTTTTTATTGATTCATATATTCTATTTAAAATTATTTCAATTGAATCTTTAAAAAAAAATTAGGGGTCCAAAATATTATTATTTAGTTTAGGACCCTAGGTGACTTTAATGACCTATGCTTAGGGTCGGCCTTGAATTCCATATATGTAATAGATTAAGTTAGTAAATTAAGTTAACGAATTAGGTTAATCTTGACCTAAAGAGAATACTTACGCAACAGATGAATTATATTTTTATCCAAAATCACTCCAAATTAAAATTTGATCGGATATAAATTAATTTTTTTTTTTGTGAAGAATTCAAATTTGAATTTGAAATCTGAATCTTTTACTGATATATATTAATATTCGGCCTAATTGTGATTCTATTGGAATTGTATATGTACATAAATATTTTATAAAATCAAATCACTATTTATTGATGTTGAAGTGAAAATTATATGTAATTTGCCAAAATTCAATTGGATTATTTTCTTTGGAAGGAATTGGATTTTAGATAAAATTTACAATTTTTAATTCAAATTTAATTTAAATTAATTGAAATACAACCCATTGACAAGCATATCAAAAGCCTCAAAATCCTCTCACCTCGGCTGCTTCGACTTGCTTGGGAGGACTCTAATTTAATTGAGTGAAATTTTTTTTAATATTTTTTTAATCAGTAATTTATCGTGAATTCAAATGAAACAAATGGTACAAAAATGGCCCCTCTCGCAAATATAACATAAGTAATATATAAAAGAGAAAAATGACAAAAAACAAATGTATGAGATAGAATGTAATTTAAGGGTTAATTATATTGTAGATTCCTGAAGTATAAAATTTATCTCATTTTGATTTTTAATGTTTTAATTACATCATTTTAGTATTTAAAATATTGAATATATTTTTTATGTGATTTCTCAAGTAGATCACATCTAAATTATTAACAATTTTTAATTATAAATTTATCACGTAATATTTAAATATAAAAATAATAATAATTTAAATAACCATTTGTCAAAATTCTATTTAAATTTTGAAAAAAAAAATTATCCAATTATGTAATTTCGATCACAAACTATCGAAATATTAGTCGAGACCTACGCATATCAGTCATCTGCACCGGCCATAACTTCACTCCTGTCTCCAGAAACGCATGACTTATATGTCCCGTCAAAACGAAACGGTGTCCCACTTTCTCGCCGTGTCCGGCTCAGTTCCATTCAAACCGGTCCAATCCCAACCGGACCGGTATTATACAGGTGTGTTTAAATAATACATAACACCTGTTTGTCACATCACAGGTCCTCTAAATTCGCTGCGAATCTCATTTTGACGGAAGCTGCGACTTTCCTTCTCATTTTCCGGGAAAATGCCACGGGGAACGCTTGAAGTCCTTCTTGTTGGTGCTAAAGGCCTCGAGAACACCGATTTTCTCTGTAAGTTTCGTCCTAAATTTCACATGATTCTGTCAGTTTCTTACTTGGATTGGTCCAGATTATAAATGTTGACTTTCATTTGTCGATCCTATTCTGTAGCCCGATCAGAGTGAATTCGATGTGGGTTTCGTTTGATATCGGAAAAATTCAAGGAAATAGAAAGAAAATGAAAATTAAGATCTTGTATTTTGATAAAAATAGAATGATATGATTTGATTTAGTTGAATTACATCCAGAAGAAAACCAGGCACCGCGCCCTTGTGTCATGGGATTTGTTTGCATGGTAAATTTTCATGACTGATCCCAATGACTTAATGCATTAAACAACTAAAGTTGACTAAATCATTCTTATCATCTCTGTTGGTACATGAAATGTTGTGCTAATTTTCTGCAACTCTCACAAGGGAATTGTTACATTTTGTTAATATCAGTCTCTCTGTCCGCACCTTAGGCTGGCAAGATCTCAATACATAATGGCTATTGGATAGAATCTAGCTTGTGTGAATTCAATGAATCATTTAGAAAGTATGTTGATCTGTTAGGAACCGGAATTTCTGTGGTTTGCCCGAATGAATATGTTTCATTTTTTTTTGGGTTAATCTCATTTTGTACCCCGTAAGATTGTTCGAATTTCAATTTACACCTTCAAAGATCAAAAATCTCAATTTACACCCTCAAAGATAGAAATTTGTATCAATGTGCACTCCCAAAGATCAAAAATCTCAATTTGCACCCTCAAAGATAGAAATTTATATCAATGTGTACCCCAAAGATAAAAAATCTCAATTTGCAACCTCAAAGATAGAAATTTGTATCAATGTGCACCTAAAATTAAATTGATAAATTATACCTAAATCCCCTCATATTTGTCAGTTAATCATTTAGACCTCTTCACATTTAGAATATTATTCCTACATCTTATGACATTTGTGCACGTATAACACGTAACTCATTTTCATTGATATCTATTAATATAACCGTTAAAAAATATAATTTTATCCTAATAAAAAATTATAATTTCATATTACCCTTTATTTTATAGGTTCAATATACTATAAAGTTCAAAATCTAATTTACCATTTGAATGTCTAATAAAATATAAATATTTATATAATATTTTTCATATTACCTTTTATATAAATATCTACATTTTATTAGATATTCAAATGGTAAGCTTGATTTTTAACTTTAGAGTATATCGAATCCACAAAATAAAAGGTAATATAAAATTATAATTTTATATTAGGATAAAATCATATTTTTTAACGATTATATTAATATATATCAACGAAAAGTGGTTATGTGTTACACATGCATAAACGTCATGAGATGAAAGGGGAATATTCTAAATGTAAAGGAGTTCAAATGATTAGGTGACAAACATGAGGGGATCAACATATAATTTATTAATTTAATTTTAGGTGCACATTGATACAAATTTCTATCTTTGAGGGTGCAAATTGAGATTTTTGATCTTTGGGGATGCACATTGATACAAATTTCTATCTTTGAGGGTGCAAATTGAGATTTTTGATCTTTGGGGGTGCACATTGATACAAATTTCTATCTTTGAGGGTGTAAATTGAGATTTTTGATCTTTGAGGGTGCAAATTGAGATTCGAACAATCTTTCGGGGTGCAAAATGAGATTAACCCTTTTTTTTTTCATTGGATTCAAGACCTGAACAAAAAAAAACAACTGTTTGGCCTAGTGTTTTAAGGTGAATTATATTGTATCCCATGATCACTGTTGCTTCTATATTCCTGAAAATCAAGTGTTTATTCTGCCTGACAAGATTTCGATGATTATGAGCAGCTAACATGGATCCTTATGTCATCATGACTTGTCGTACTCAGGAGCAAAAGAGCAGTGTGGCTTCAGGTTAAGTTTGAGTTTTCTGGATAAAGTTTCTTTAATTAGGGAAAAACTTCAATCAAAGTTATAAATTGTTATTCTTGTCTTAGTTCAGAAAAAAGTAAGTGGGTTCTGCTTACTGCATCGGTTTGTTCACCTGCACATTCATTCATTCTATGAGTTTCACTTTAGGTCATTGTTGTATATTTGTTCAAAACACTATAACTGTTGTCAATAATGGTTACTGCAGGAAAAGGGACAGAACCAGAATGGAATGAGAATTTCGTGTTTTCCGTCTCTGATGGTGTTTCCGAACTCTCAATCAAGATAATGGACAGTGATAATGTTACTGACGATGATTTCGTGGGAGAGGCGAAGTGAGTAGTAGTGAAGCTTTGTTTTAGGGACAATTGTTTTAAATGTACTGCTTTTATGTTATGATTTTTTTGTTTGCAGCATAAGCTTCATTTCTGTTAATCAAATCTTAGTTTATGGCTTGAGCAAATGAGCTAGCAGTTTATTGAGAGAGGATCACACATAACGCAATGTGAATAATGAGGGAAGTGTTTTAGTAACTGTGGATTTCATATTGATCAAGTTTGAAAGAAACGTCTTTTTTCTGAATTGGAAATAAATGATTGACTCATAACTGTTTTATCACGAACACAATGAATTCCTTCCATATCTTGTTTTAACAAAATGGAACTATCTGTATTAGTGGGGCACTGTAATGCTTCATTAACATTTTTCAAATAAATGTGGAAGAAAAGCAAAACATAACCTTGTCAGGCGATGACTTGAATTTCCTGTAAGAAAGTAAACAGCCGAATTGATTTAGTCTTTGATGCCTTGATTTTGTGACCCTTGCAGAATTCCACTCGAGGCGGTGTTTATGGAAGGAAGCCTTCCACCAACAGCATACAATGTGGTTAAAGATGAAGAATATCATGGGGAGATTAGGATTGGCCTCAGTTTTACTCCTGAGGCAAGTTATATGCTCAACTTCCATTTAATCCCCCTGCCCCAAAAACAAAACCCACAACCTATCGACAGACACAGAAATAAGGAAAATAAATTCTCTTGGACTAGGTGGAAAGAAAAAAATTGTGAAGAAATTAAAAATACTGAGGCTTATACTCAATAGAATTGACCTGATCGAAGTTGATGTTGAATTAGATATCTGCAACTCTGTTAAATGTGGCATATCTCAGTAAACACAGTGTCTCGATATTTATTCATTTTGAAGAGCATCATAATTGTATTATTTAGCTCAATACAAAATTATGATTATCATCTCTTTGTCATAGGGAGGCGGCGACCAGAGGTCTTGTGAGCAGGAGGAAAGCTATGGAGGATGGAAGGACTCTTCATACTGAGACTGATCAAGCATCAATCTGCAATTTCTCTGTTACTCTTTTTCCCTTTTGAGCTGAATTTCTCTGTTGTCAGGATATTGATTGAAACCAAAATAAATGGGGTAAGTGTTCTGATGTAACTGACCCCAAATGATTGGGACATAAAGTTTGGTTTAGTTTGATTAGTTGTTATGCTCTGATGTAACATATTTGGTCTGGTGACTCCGGACAGCCTCCCCCTCCCCCTCTCTCCCAGGCTCCCCTCCCCTCTCCCGGGGAAAACTGATTTGTAAGTTTGAAGTACCTATTTTGATGCTGAAGTTTTATGTAATTTGGTCTCACGTTCTTCAATTGCATATCGGATGGGTAATAAACCACAGTCAATCCTTGACAGATGCAGTATATAAAATGTTCTTGAATTATTATTCCAAGACACTAATCCACACGGGTTAATAAGATTTGAATTCAGATTGGATTCAGGTAGAAAAACTGACTGATTAGCAGATTAGAGGCAACCTCTCTCTCACACGTACCCCCACTCACTATCATAAACTCAAAATAATCATCGGATCATCTGAAATCTGGGTGTTGAAGAAGTCCTTGCAGTGGATAGGTTCTGCATTTGTATGGTACATTACACACTGACTGGCTCCTTTTAGCATAGTTTTAAAACCCGGCCCGGACACCAACCCGGAGAAGGGACCGGGTCAATGGATTCCTGGTTCCACCACTGGGTCACTGGTCGAACCGGTGATATAATAAAAAAATAAAAAATAATTATTAATGATGATAAATAGACTAAAAAATTAAAATAGTTATAAAAATAACATGTTTAATATATATTAAATCAATCAAAGTTATCAAGCCTGAACCACTTAATTGCATTCAATTAACAAACCAATGCATTCAATTAACAGCCTAGCCTCCATCCTCAAACTTGAATCACTTAATTGCATTCACTTAATTTTTGAGTTAACAAACACTGAACGAATGATTTAGGATTTAAAGCAAAACAAAAGGGGAAAAGAAAAAGACACAAAAATGTAAAAAAAAAAAAACATATTTATACTAAATGAACAAAACCGGCCGGTTTTGTAAACCCGGTTCGGTTTTCACGGATTATCGATTTTTTGACCGATTCTTTGTTCAAACGGTCTAATTACAAAACCGGCCCGGTTAGGGGACCGGTTCACCGGGTCAACCCGCTGGGCCAGGCGGGTTTTAAAACAGTGTCTTTTAGTCCTTGCTCGGACATTCCTTTGACTTTCACTATTTGAAACTGGAAAATATCACAAGAGTTGGTGGTCCAAGGGTAAGTCATATCCGTTTAAGATTGTCCTTGACTTTCATCTATTTATCAAATATGGTTTGATCCACGGAAATAACGTGATTTGGTGCACAGTTTTGGTGGTGTTGTGATGACGAACTGTCTTTTCAGATTAGAAGTTATGGCTCAAATCAGACATTTCACAGTAGGAGATCTTCATAGTCACACCTAGGGTTATTACCTACTCATCGTCCCTCCCATTTTTCCCAGTTCCAAAAAAAAAAAAAAAAAGAGGAAAAATAATGGTTAAAACTAGTATTTCTTGAATAAACACATGTGAATCCCTCAACAAAATTTTAAAGGCTCAGTATACATTAATAATTGTCACATGATGATATTATACATTTTAATCAATTATTGTCACTTGTATAATTATAAGAATTTTTTTTAAAAAAAATTAACATGTATATAATAAGCAAATGTTGCGACAATTGTTTATTAGATATGAGTATCACATGATACCTGCTAAGAAATGAATATTTTTTCCAATCACTCGCATCCCATTCCTGTTTGAGATCATTTCTAGGATTCCTAATTCTAATGTTTGACCACAGAGGAAAATAATATTATTTTTATAAACAACTCGGTATTGTTTTTCAATTCTTACACTCAATTTCCAGACATCACAAGAGCCAAAGATTGTGTCCCACCATTCAGGCTAATGATGATGGAAAAATATCAAAAGTCCTAGGCTTTGAATTGAAAACGCAATGTTTGTTAACTGTTTATTAGTTGACTTTCTTGTCCGTTTTGCATCCGTGCAATTAAAAGCATTCTTTTCAAAGTCTTTTTTTTTCTTTTTTTCTTTGCGGCATTTGTTTGATTTCGGGCTTTTGATGATATTTAGCCTTGGGCGGAATTTGATCTCTTCAATTTGACTTGTATTCCCAAGCAATCTAAGCAAGGAGGGTTCACTCTATTCGACGAGCAACTTATTGAATTATTCCCTTCTTCTACGCTTTTGAGGAGTACGAGAAAGGACTTATACTTCTGACAATTCTTAAACGTTGGTTCACTTGCTTAAAAGGTAAAGACCTTACTTTATTCTTTTCTATTCCTTTTCGAAGCTTTTACGATAACAGATTATTGTGCAATAGAGTTAAAAAACAATTACATGTCATTTTACGTTTATATTACAATAAAGTTGTTCTATTCTGATATACTGATTCTAGGTTTAAATTACAATATTTTACGACCCTTCTCTAATTCCAAAATAACTCGAGATTTTTGAGATTTTTATACTCTTTCTTGTGCCTGCAATTGTTTGAAATGGGAAAATTCTATCATAATTCAGAAGAACCCTAAAAATATAGCTCTTCGACAGTCGGATTCTGTGTCTCACACTGAAGCTTACTCCGGCAACATAGACAACTGAATTACTTGTATTACTGCAACTTTTGCATGGTATCTAATCTTCACCACTCAAACACTTGCAACAATAATGTCTACATAGCTCTCATTCTAATTCAACTGCATACAATATACATCTTTGACTATCATTTCAGAAAAAGAAAATGATCAAAATCGCAAAATTTACACTACAACTGCATAGTTACATATAACCGAAGACAATCATGATTAAATACAGCTCAATACACGAGTCTCTTATTATTATAAAGTTCTGGGTAGCATAAGTTGTAAACAGCATTACCTGTGTGTGAGTGACAGATGACAAAAATCACAATAGAACAACCTTCTCGTTGAGCTCAATTGTGAAGCGGGTTTGGTCCTCCAGGAACGGTCCGGTGTGACACTCCATAAACTGGGGCACCATGGTTTTTTCTGGCAGTGAAATGAGATGAAAACTGGGTATGAAGTTCGTGATCAACTCTTTTCTCTGTTACTTCAGTACTAATTATGTGAACATGACGGCAACTTGATAGCCGGATACTACTGAGGATCACCATGATGAACAGGATTGGGACGCCGGGAAATCGAATACCCATGATCATTAAGATCAGATATAGCTGAAAGAACTGTGACAGAAGCGAAGATGAAGCAGGTTGAATTGAGTTTTTTTTTTTTTTTCAACTAATGAAGGCAGGTATGAAGTCTTCTTTTAAATATGGCATCAACTAACCTGTGGTGTAGATAAGGGGCCAAAATATGATTAACACCAAGTCCTGTCAAAATGGCAAAAACACCCATTTCTGTGGGGCAAATTTGCAGGCATTTTGTTTGCACCCAAATGCCCAAATTTCACATCCGAATTGGTGGTCCAGTGGTAAGTTGTATTGTATCTGTTTAGAGTCGTATCTTACTCCCATGTAATTATCAAGTAGAGCTCGATTTATAAAAGTAACACGGTTTATTGCTTAGGACTATAGTTAATAATTATAGCTCAAACAGAAGATTTCATAGTAGGAGACCCTCATGATCATGCCCAAAGAAACTACTATCTAGTGGTTGCCCCTCCTCCTTCGATGACAAAAAAAAAAAAAAACAGAACCCAAATTTCTATGTCAGTGATTTTCATGGGACTCTTGAGCTTTATTTGGTGTGCTTAATTTGTCGATACAACATTTCTTACGGTTGGAGATTGGTGTGTGATTACTAGTGTTCATATATCAGAGTGATACATCATAGTTTCGAATTAATTCAAACCTCGCCACGGTGGTTAGTGGGAGCCTTATACACTAGGTCCAACCTTTTTTCTAATATGGTCGGCCATGATCCCAAAATGTTTCAAGCTTGTTGAAAACGTGAATGGCTGAAGGGTTGTGAGAATTGACTTATTCATATGTCCCTTTACGTTTTATAAATTTAACTTATAATAATAACTATTAGTTGACACAGGTACTCCGTACTCATCAACAGACACGAGCAGCCAGAACAGGATCAATAAGGGTTGCTTGAGCTGTGCCGTCATTTCGTCGATTTCCAACTGATTTTGTTTTTAATTTATATCAAATTGGTTGGTTAGCAAAACGCAAGGAATAGTTCGAGTTCGGTTTGAATGTTCAACTACAATGCCCATGATCAAAACCTGACTTGTTATTTAGGAAGGGAGCTCAAATATCCAATGTCACATGAATTGATTCCGATAAATTTTCACTTACGAATCAATCTTGNTTTTTTTTTTTTTTTCAACTAATGAAGGCAGGTATGAAGTCTTCTTTTAAATATGGCATCAACTAACCTGTGGTGTAGATAAGGGGCCAAAATATGATTAACACCAAGTCCTGTCAAAATGGCAAAAACACCCATTTCTGTGGGGCAAATTTGCAGGCATTTTGTTTGCACCCAAATGCCCAAATTTCACATCCGAATTGGTGGTCCAGTGGTAAGTTGTATTGTATCTGTTTAGAGTCGTATCTTACTCCCATGTAATTATCAAGTAGAGCTCGATTTATAAAAGTAACACGGTTTATTGCTTAGGACTATAGTTAATAATTATAGCTCAAACAGAAGATTTCATAGTAGGAGACCCTCATGATCATGCCCAAAGAAACTACTATCTAGTGGTTGCCCCTCCTCCTTCGATGACAAAAAAAAAAAAAAACAGAACCCAAATTTCTATGTCAGTGATTTTCATGGGACTCTTGAGCTTTATTTGGTGTGCTTAATTTGTCGATACAACATTTCTTACGGTTGGAGATTGGTGTGTGATTACTAGTGTTCATATATCAGAGTGATACATCATAGTTTCGAATTAATTCAAACCTCGCCACGGTGGTTAGTGGGAGCCTTATACACTAGGTCCAACCTTTTTTCTAATATGGTCGGCCATGATCCCAAAATGTTTCAAGCTTGTTGAAAACGTGAATGGCTGAAGGGTTGTGAGAATTGACTTATTCATATGTCCCTTTACGTTTTATAAATTTAACTTATAATAATAACTATTAGTTGACACAGGTACTCCGTACTCATCAACAGACACGAGCAGCCAGAACAGGATCAATAAGGGTTGCTTGAGCTGTGCCGTCATTTCGTCGATTTCCAACTGATTTTGTTTTTAATTTATATCAAATTGGTTGGTTAGCAAAACGCAAGGAATAGTTCGAGTTCGGTTTGAATGTTCAACTACAATGCCCATGATCAAAACCTGACTTGTTATTTAGGAAGGGAGCTCAAATATCCAATGTCACATGAATTGATTCCGATAAATTTTCACTTACGAATCAATCTTGAATAACTTTTTTGCATTAGCAAAAGCAACCGTAGTGATCAAGACAACAAGAAAACGCTCCGATTATTATGAAATAACACGAGCCCTTCCTTCATTCAGGGGTGGAAGATGATGGAGTCGGTCCATGAATTCTCCTTTCATTTGCCGAATTTCACTCAAAGGGTCGAAGGGATCGACGAACTATTATTTGGATGGGAAAGTAAACAATAATGATGCCATATGAGTTGAGAGATGCAAGTGGTCTGCTGGAGCACCAGCAGAATATTTAAAAGTCTTGTGCTGAAACAAGAGTTTTCATGGCAGAGAAGTCAAAAACTTGGAAGTTCAGCAAGGTATTTACAAAGGATAATGATAGTTGGTGATGCAGTTGTGAAGACTATTGTCCTACTCTAGGATTTTTCATTCAGCAACGACGGTACGTATTGAAATATTGGGTTCTCATCGTTTCAAAAAGAACAATTCTACATTTATCTAAAGTTTTACCAAATCAATGTGAATAATTAAATTAATAGATCCTACCGACTTTCACTAATCCGATGACTGTAAGCATGATTATTTATTATTTCAAAAATAGACTCCAATTAGTGTTTGAGTCGGGGTTGAAGTAGCCTGAGTAGAAAAAAAATTTGAATAAAAAAATATATTGGAGGAAATTTAGATCCCGTTATGATCTAGAATGTTGCATGAGTGTTATTCTTGCTTTGTTTTCATACCAAAATCGTTCTGGGCAACTCTCAGTAACAGAGAAGGGGCAGCATTCTTGATCCATAACCATATAAATCAAGAATCAAACCATTATGGTGGCTGCTGGTTAAGCTTGTCTTTTTGCAAGCAAGAGATATAATCAACCATCCTTGTTACTTGTAGGACATGCCCATAAATTGACTCAAATTACGGTGGCCAACTCAGAGCTCGAGAAAGTAATTAATGCAAACTTGGATACCTTATATGTGTGTGTGCATGTGTGTAAATCAAGAATCAAGGAGGATGTTTACTAATGGACACCCATTTCTCCCTAACAGAGATATAATTTACACTCTTTCCCTCCACTTTTGCTTTATATTGTGAAACATAGGTATACAAAATTTATCAATGCACCAATAAAAAGTTTAAAAAAAAAAAGGGAAAAAGAAAAAAAAATACCATGCCTGAGGTTGCACAAAACAACAGTAAGACCAGTTCATCATTGAAATTCTGAAATCATCAATGGGTGATTGTTGGCGCCACTTCCTCTCGTGAAACATGTAAAACCTTCTCTTTCATGAAGACAATTGATGGATTTGTAACCTGTGCTACTTTCGAATTCGAATGCCAGGGATGTCTTTCAAGCCCATTTTCAGTGCTGTTTTCCTGAAGAGTGCAGGAGGTCTCTGTAAGCCAATTGACTCACAAAATTGGTTGGCTTGCTGAACAAGCATGGTTTTGTCTCTGCCTATTTCCCTGACCGAGTTATAATAGCCAAGCCAAGCATGATAAGCTGATTCTTTGACACTAGTATCAATCTTTGTCATTGCATCCTCCATCTGCAAGCGTACACAAACTCCATGTCACACAATCTTTTTGAATTGGACCAATGAAATGTAAGGAGACTTAATGTACTAAATTTTTTGAAGTATCTTCAGAAATGTGCATGTATGAGTTTGGAACTGTTTGTGCACACGAGAGAGGAGAGAGAGGGAGAGGAATCAAACTCCATGTCACACAACCTTTCTGGATTTCCACTCCAGCTAAGCAATTTGCATTGGAGGAACAATGAAATTTGACGAGACTTGCATGATAAAACACATTTTTAAGCATGTGATGTTAGGAGATGTGCGCATGTTTGAGCGTGGAGTGTGTGCATGCGCCTATGAAATCAATCCTATTTCGTCAGCAGTTCTTTGGATGTTCATTTACATGTTTCTATGAGAGTTTTTGGACTAAATATTGTAGATAAGTTCCAGAAAATGCACCTTTACTTTCACATCAGGATCCAAATGCGGTAAAGGGAATTTCTCAATAGGGAGGTCTTTTATTTCATCCATGAAATATTCTTCCCATGGTGCGAGCAACAAGATGCCTTCTCCTTCTTTGCCTTCCCGGCCTGTCCTTCCGAGACGATGTATGTACTGTTCCCGATCACAAGGAAGACCCACCTGGTAATATCAAACTTTATACATCATTTGATGGTAGCACAATGATTTTTTATAATACGCAAAAATGTAAACCACCAAATGAACATCTTGATGTGTGAAATGTGAAGTCAACCATACAAATTTGTATTGGTGCTTATCATGCATTCAGATCATTCCAGATTTACAAAAAAAGACCTGTAGAAGATGATCCTTGCTGCCATTTTAAAGAAACAAACAGCAACGAAGCGTCTGAACATTCATATTACCATGAACTAACCCTTTAAATTCTCAAATTTCAAATCCTGCTTCTAGGAGCATTCCAATGAGGCTACTTGCTTTTCTTGACACTTCATGAAAATTGTCCTCTGTTTTAAAAAAGATACAGTACATGAAGATATCACAACTTGTAAATTCAAATGCTAGTTCAAATCAAGTAATGATTTGATCTTCATTGGATGTCAACATATCCCCAGGTAATTTAGTTCAAACATGCATATCAGTTTGTTGCATTGTTACCATTTTAGCAAAGCCATAGAAGATAACGTATTTGCTTAGTGATGCATACATATTTATACATAGAAGTTGTGAGAATTCTCATCAAGAAGGAGAGTTGTAACAATAAATATACAGGTCAACAATCTATCAGCACCCAACTTGAGCTCCCCCTTTACCTGAATGACCAAAGTGACATCAGGATAATTCATTCCACGAGCAGAAACATCAGAAGTAATAAGAACCAATCGTTTTGATTCCCTGAATTCATCAGAGACACGAGTTCGATAGAGTTGAGTTTTTCTAGAATGTATCTCTCGAACATTCATTTTCATATCTCGGAAAAGGGAAAACATGAGGGATGTCATCATTCCCGTTGTGCAGAAAACTATGACCTGAGAGCACATTAAACAAATTTACAAATAAACAGACGAATAAATGGACCTAAGAGCACATTAAACAAACTTAAAAATAAGCGGATAAATAAATCCAAACTATACAACATCTTACCTTGTAATCAAGTACTTGTGAGATATGATTCTTTAGAATATTGTACACTATTTGCAAATGCAGTCCGTGTGGTGCTACAAGATATGACTGCATAACCTGTTTAACAAGCCAAAATGAGCACCAAAATTCCTTCCAATATCTCAACTAGGGACAATTGTATGAGTGTGTATCGGATGGGCCCCCCAGATTTTAAGGGAATCTATTGAATATCAGCATTAATGCAACTAAATTGGTCCAACATGATAAGGAAAACATCAATTACTAGAATTTTCTGTATCAAATTTGCATAGATATGGCAAATATAAATTTGACTGGTGATTTTGGTTAAAAGTTGACCAAAATATTTACTTTTATGTACCTTAGCATGAGTTTCCAGACAACCCATCCCTACTGTATCAATATACAGATGTTCCCTTTTCAAAACAAGCTGAGATATTCGGCGAACCTACAAATTCATATAATCAATATCATAACCAATGAGGTCTGCAACTTTTATTTGAAACCACACTGCTCGAAATTTTGTAATATGCAGCCAAAGGTAATAGCTTTTCAAATTTCAGATGAAACAGCAAGGAAAAATTCCTAACCTCCTTCGGCAGTGTGGCAGAAAGAAGTAAAGACTGCCTTTGACGGGGCAAACAATCAACAATTTTCTCCATATCCTTCCGAAATCCAAGGTCTAGCAAGTGGTCTGCTTCATCAAGGATAAGCATTTTTAATCCCATCAAATGCACAGAGAAGCCAGACTTGTTCTCAATGTGATCCAATAATCTACCTGGAGTTGCAACTATGATCTGCCAGAATGGTAGATGAAATCAATCAGAAGAAGACTTGATGTGTCAATGCAATAAGCTAGATTAGGAACTTTCAGAAGAAAACATTTGGATAATGGCCAGAAGCTTAAGTAGATAGAATAAAATGGTATACCTGGCATGGATCTGATTCTAGGCGTCTTTGATCAACTTTGAATCGTGTACCTCCAACTAGTGTTTGCACGCCAATACCATCGTGGTACTTCAGCAAAACATTTGCTTCTGCGGCTATCTGACTTGCAAGTTCTCTTGTGGGGCAAAGAATAAGAACATATATTGGTGACACCCGTTGAACTGAGTTACCACTTGAAGCCTTCAGAACTGTTTCAATTGCAGGAAGCTGTTTGTGTTCAACACCATTGGGATAAAAAATGCAGAATGTAATCAATCAAGTATAAGAAGTAGAAGAACATAAAGGGTCTTGTGACATACCAAAAAAGCAGCACTTTTGCCAGTGCCAGTTTTAGCTTTAACTAAAGCATCCTTGCCTGTTATACATCAGAGGTATAAAGGTAATTTATTAGCATATTCATAATGAACAGATCAGAAAAAATGTCTGTATTCAAAAGTAAGATGTTAGACTCGCAATGTTTTGAAGTAAAACATATCATATGTTTATCTGAGCATGATGAACATATCATTGTGCCTTGGCCAAGGTGTTTTGTACGGCTCCCTATATACACATTTTGTACATACTCCTCGATTCTGTGGGTTATCCAGTTTTTAACATTAGTTGCTCAATTGGTCCTTTTATATAGCAACTAGTGTTATATATGCTGACGAGGACGAGGACAAGCAGAGTTTGTTTTCTGCCCTTGCCTGCTACAATAATTAAATCTATTATTCCTTCAGCTAGAAGAAGCAAACCTTATGCTGTATTTACACTTCAAGCATCTAGTCTTCCAAACACCTTACCTCACACCTCAGCATGTATTGTTCTGACGGACTACACTATGTCAACCCTCCACATCATAACTACCTATATTTGAGCTATTGAATTTACCTGTATTTGAATACCAAAATTCTATATAGCTCAGTAATTTCAGCAGCAAAAAAGTGCCAGCAGGATACCACACAGTTTCTTGCACAAATCAAATGTTTGATCACTCAGCTCAAACCAAACCTAGTGTAATCTTGACAACCAATAGTAAAGTCTCTGACAATTGTGGTATACTAAGGCAAGATGTCAGATAATTTACTAATGAACACATACATTAAGCTGAATAATAAGTAAACAAAATATGTGGCCAAAGAAGCAATCAACACACCCTCAAGACAAGCAGAAAGTGTAGCCTCTTGTACCCTGGTCATTTGCACATACCCTGCTGCATGGAGTGCCTTCACTGTCAAATGAGATATATTACATTCATCAAACCTGACAAAACACAACCCTTGCAGTATTACCAAATGGCACGAAAGAATTCAAAAGTTAATACTTTTAAAATTTTCAAAACAAACTCTACATAGATGATTAGGTTATCTTGTATACCTTCTTTGACTAAGAATGGATTCCTCGTCACCCCTTTCCCCTACATTTTCTGTTAAACTCCTCTTACTAACCTCCTTTCGAATCACCTCAACATGCTGTGATAAATCATCCTCCTCTTCCAAACACTTCAATGGCACCCTCTTAGTTATCCTCTTATCATGCTTCCCCAATGCTGCACTACTCATCATCCTCTTTGCATTATCCCTACCCCTAATTTCCTCCTCGTCATTACTATCATCCAACGAAGTGATCCCACCCAAGCCAAACCTTGGCCACCTCTCATTCCCATCAACCTCACTCTCTAATTCGGAATCATCCTCACTTTCAGAGCTCTCATTTCTCCTAAAATTAAACCTGGATGACCTCTTTTTAATGCGGGTATCCACCGAATAATTCCTACACTTGATCCCATCATTCGAATACAACGAAATTCTACTCTCACAATGGCCCATAAAATCAATTCCCAACCTCATTTCACCTAGCGTACCAGCTAAATAATTCATAAATTTCAAATGGTTACCAAAATCTGTTGAAATTGGACTCCGACAAGTACTTGTTGAATTAAACTTCGACCACATTTGACTCCTTGCATCGGTCGAATAGTTCCTAGGTTTTGACCTGTCATTCAAATTCATCGAATTTGCTTTTCCACGATTATCCAAAAATAATTTTGGCAAATCAATTGGCTCATCAGTTAATCGGCTTCTTACAGAAGGCTGATGTGGTGGAGTTTTTATAGGGCCATCGGCTTCGTTCCACAAATCTTCAGCTCCTTCCTTCATGAACCGATCGGCGAGAGCTTTGATGTGCTCTTGGGGAGATAATGGACTGTAATTCGGCTGATTTGGGTCCGATTGTCGTCGGCCGGATATGGGTTTTTCACTGCCGGCGAGTTTTGCCCGGATTTGCGACCGAATTCGGGCTTGGTAGAGTTGTTTTTCTTGGTCGAGTAGTTTGTTCTCTTTTTCTCTGGCTTTTTTCTCGTGGAGGCGTTTCCATTGCCACTTGTTGAGGCCGCCCGGGAAGGTCCTTGGCCCGCCGCCCATAGACCGGATAAAGATGAGATTGTGGAGGAAACTAGACAAAAGTTTCGAACGTTTTCGAAGTAAAATGGATGAGGAGTTCATTTTCTCGGATTGAAGAGAAAGAGAGAGGGGGAGGTTTTTAGGGTTTAAGGAGGTGGGGGGAAGAAGAGGCGGGGGGGAGGGTTTAAAATTGATCTAGTCATCTCAGTAATTTGTTCAAAATTCTGCCCACTGGACTCATTTCGCAATATTACGATTCCATTCTGCTTGATAATTCGGTTTTCTTAGTTTTTTGGTCCGTTAATGAAAGATTTAATATTTTATAAATATGGGGTAAGAATACAGAATATTCATAATTTTTTTGTATTTCTAATCGATTTTCATATATATATATATATATATATATATATATATATTTAAATTTTTAAAAAAATAATATCTATATAATAAAATAGAACAATTTTGAATTCAAGAGACAAAGAGTGACCTAGATCGTTTCGTGACCAAAAAGGACATCATCCAACGGACAACGTTATCTCAAACTATCTCGAGCTATTGATGTCTCAAATCGTTTCGATCTAAAGTACCATATTAGCTCTTGAAAATTTTTTGCCGCTCAAAACTTTTAGTTTCCAAAACTAAGATCCCTAAATTTAATTTCTCAATTCAATCAAATTCAGCAATTAAGTGATCTCTCATTCATCAACACTGTCTCTCTCTCTCCCTAAAATACATATTACAACTCTTATCATTATTTTTCTGAATTTATTTCCAATGCTAAGGGATCACTTTTTATACTGAGACATTGATTGTCTCTCACACTCTCATCTTTCATGATTCTCTTTCCAAACTGAGACACATGTCTTCCCAAAATTTTATCATAATACAGTTGCTTTCCATTTTTACTGTTCATATCACACACACACATCTTTACTGTACATATATATAGTACAAAGATCGAAGATATACTATATCTACATGTTATATCTTGGAAGCGTTTCATCTAAATATCATATAGTTGAGACTAAATTCAATGACAACCTCTAAAACAATAATTTTTGTCTCTTTCAATAGATAAAATAATGATTTAACTAAATATTTTGTGAAAATACTAAAATTATCATTTAATATGTAAATAGACTAAACTATCATCAATTCTTTCCCTATTATATATGCGCTAGCCAACCAACAAACGTAATTTTAATCATTATATTATCCTGGTAATCAAAGTTTATAATTTTTATATTTTTTTTATCATAATAATATTTATAGTTAAAAATAATTTTTTTATAATCTCATCTATTTCTAATTCTTCTACTATCATATGTCTTCCACAACATCGCCCGATCGCTTCTCACTCATCATATTTCATATATAAAATTTAAAATTATTTGATAAATTTAAATATTAATTTATTTTTATTTTTGATAAAATTAAATATTAATTTAGTATTAATTTGATTGAATTTAATTTTAATTGAATAAATTTGAATGTTGTTTTAATAAAATTAAATGTTCATTTAGTGTTAAATTAAAAAAATGACATTAATTTGATAAGGTTAAATTTTAAATTAATGGAATTTAATATTATATTTAATAAATTAAATAGTTTAATTTAATAAAATTGAATGTCATTTTAATGTTAATTTGATAAAAGTAAATAATAAATTAATATTAAATTAATATAATTAAATGCTAATTTGATAAAATTAAATATCAATTTTGTGTTGATTTGACGAGGTGAAATGTTAATTTAGTTCAAATTAAATAAAGAAAATTAATTTGATAAAAATTTAGGTTTATTTAAAAAGGGTGTTGTTAAAGTTAGGTTTATTTATAAGAAGTGTGGATAAAATTTACTTTATAAAATAGTCAAAAATATTTCTATAAATCAACCATTGTCATTAACGGTATAACCCGACAATCACTAACAAAGAGTGACAATGAAATTTCAAAATTGAAAGAAAGTGTCATTAAATTTAAATCTAACTACAAGGGATCTGGATGAAATTTTCTCTTATATATATACAAATATTTATAATGAAACACATAGGAAGTTGAATTTTATCCCCTATACATTCTCCTCTCAAAACCATCACATCACTCATTTTTATCACATAATCAACCATTTAATATTTGATTAATTTTTAATTTAATATAATTTTTATTTCAGATATTATCCATACACAATAGTATAGATCTGTTAAAAAAATTTATCGAATTATATATTTTGAAAAAAAATTGTCAATATCTTCAAAAAAATAATGGGTAAAAATAAATTTTGAATGATTTAATCAAATAAATTAAGGAAAAAAAATTATTATTTAATATAGTGATATCGATTTTTTAGAACTCGAATTTTTTTTCTATCATGTTTTCAAATACAGGTTATGACTAGTATATTATAAAAAGACGTCGTTTTGTTTGTCATAAAATAACATTGTTTAAGAAGCATATGATGTGATTGTGTTTTATTTATGGTGTTTTAAACTAATAAAGAACATATTAATAAAATTTATTGTGTTTTCTTGAATTTTATTAGTTTATTGTATTGATTTACATATTTTATATTATATTTTAATTGTCTAATGATAAAAGTAGCTTAAAATTGGTAATTGAGTTGTTAAAATTATCCAAAAATTAATAACTTAAAGTTTGAAAATTTGTAAATTTGTGTGGTATTATTCCGCATTTTTATTCAACCTTATGAGCCAGTTTTTTGGATGAAATTCAAATCAGAACATTACCTCAATTGAATAGAGTCAACCAAAAAATTAGGATTTGTTTAGTTTGCATCTCAAAAAACAGTATTTGAAAACTATTTTTGGGAAAAACTTTAAGAAAGTGTTTTTAAAAAATTTTAGATTGTAAAACCTGTTTGGTTATATATTTTTTAAAATAATTTTAAAGAACAAAAAATAGTACAACTTGTTTGGACAATGATCCATAAAACTAATTTTTAACTTATCACTTATGATTAAAAAAAAAAACTTATCACTCCAACAATCACATTCATCGCTTACTCACACAACTCTTTCTCCATTATCTTTTCACACAACAAGTCTCCCTCTCTCTCTCCATTATCTTCCACACATCAACCATTTCTCTTTGCTATCTTCTCACTGAGCAAAAACAAACACACACACAAAACCCACACACTCACATACATCACATAATACATATGTATATATATACACGCACACAAATTTTTGTATATATATAAATCTAAACATAGATTTGTATATTGTGCATAGGGAGAGAAAGGAGATGAGTTTGGAGAAGATGAACAACAAGGGTAACATTTTTAGAGAAGATGAACAGTCAGTGGAGAAGATGAACAACCGATCATATTTTTTATCTCCAACAAAACTTGAACGAGAGACCTCATTAATTTAGAGTTCTGTGTTTTCGTGTTTTCATTTTACCTTAAAAAACAATGAAAATACCATTTTGTTATTCTTTAAAATCACATCTCATTTCCCAAAATTTTCAAAATATTGGAGAACAAAAAAATTAAACAAACAAGTTTTCCTTATTTTTAGAATTTTGATAACAAAAAACTATTTTTTAAAACCAAACTAAACATGCCCTTAGCCTTTCACAATTCATATGCTCGGAATATGAAATCCAAAAATTCCTACCCATTAGTTCAAGTGAACAACCTTAGTAATAATTAATTCTTGAATAATGCTATTTGGATATAAAAATCTGACCTAATTTACTGACATAATGATATAACTGCATAGAAATCATTGAATCAACACAAAATTCAAATATTTGATAGAGTCTGCAGTTAATTCAAAGTTCATAGTGAATTAGGTTAATAAATTATGTCAGTGAATTAAATTAATAAATTATGTCAGTAAATTAGATTCCAATAATATTGCTCTTAATTCTTAGTGTTAGCTGAGTGGCCCATTAGATCTCGGGGTGATTCGAACCAGCGCGCGATGGCCTGTGTCTGCTGCATTTCATGGGCAATCAAATGTGTGTTTTGATCTATTGGGTGCGACAATTGGACCGATTAAAGCCAATGAAGGTTACCCATGGGATAAGCCCACAACATAAACCATTGAGTTAACAAAATCCAAACAATTTTTAAAAGTACTAGTCGATGTACACATGCGTTGCACGTGAATCATTTTGAATCAATTATGTATTTGCCAATTGTCTACAGAAACCATGTACTGCCAACCATTGCCAACCTCCAATAATGGGAAATAATAATTGAAGCTACCTTTGTTGTGCATCACTTTTCCAAAACCCACACACTAAGTAAGCATTGAACAACCACTGCCAAAAAAAAAAAAAAGAAGAAGGAAGCATTAAGCAATCAAAAACCATGCTTTATAAGAAAAATCTGAAAAAAATGCACACTAAACTAATATTTGATAGAACACATTTTATTCAAAAGCATCTTGTTCCATTTCGGCCTTGTGACTCAAATTTTTGTAGTTCTTATTCTCTTCTTTTTACAAGGATAAGAAAAAACTTAGATAATCGTGAGACTAATTTCTAGTATGAACAAAGTTAGGAAATAGAAAGAAGTAAAAACTATATTTGTAAGGCACTTACCAAGTACAAGAGTTTGGAGGACATTGCTACACATACTGTTTAGTAATTAACGTAGACAAATCTTATAAACTTTTCTTATACAAAGTAAAGAAAAAAATTGTAAACCTAGATCTACTTAGGAAATAAATAAATAAATATATATATATATATATATATATATATATATATATATATATATATATATATGAGGATAAAATATACAAGACTGAACAGAAGAAAAAAAATACATGGATTATTTGAATGGGCTCTCCACATGAATGAGGAAGGGCCAAAGGTTGGACCAACAAACACCATTGTATCCCTGCTGTCACCATAAGAGGACCAGTGCATATAGAAAACACCCAATATTCAATTTAGCACCCATAATAGCTTTTGACAAAGTATGAAACTAAGTTATAAGAACAGTGTAAATTGAAACAAAAAGAATTGGAAATCAAATGCAAAAACAAGTGTGGATTCAACTATAATAGTATCGATACTTATATGCATTATAAACATTTGATCACGAACTGATTAATAATACACCTCAAGTTACGTTGGCTACAATTGTACATGGCCACAATGACATAATCTCTTGTA